CTGGGGTAAACCTGAAGTTTGACCCCGTTTGACCTAATCTGACTCGACGATCACGACCTAGGAGCCTCAAGCTTTGGCCTAAGTGAGTTCACGTTTAGGCAAACACACCCTGTGAATTTGGTGTCTCTAGCTCTCTTAGTTCCTGAGACCTCAGGGGTTTAATTGATCCCCCCCCCCCGAACGAAGGGTATCCGACCGGTCACCCGGGCGCGTGCCAACCCCGTTTCAACGCTTCAAGAATGGGATGAAATGTCTACACGGCTTTTTACGCACATGCGCTCATGCGTGCGTCCCGCCCCACCGCTTCAGATGTCGTCTGCATGGCGAGCTCCACTCCTCGCTCTACGGCCTGCGAGCGCTGGGCGCTAGGTAGTGTATGACCCGCAGTCCGCAGCTCCGCGACGCCCTCTGATGCAGAGAGTGGCGGCGGCTCGGTCCCTGCCAGCTCTTCTAACCAATCGATAAGATCGGTGCAGCTGGCGGCGTCAAGGTTTCTATCCGGCAACTGGTCCGGCAGCATCTCGTCACATCACTGATTTCGGAAACGAGCAATTCTGGTACGACGTGGCGCGGGCTTCCTGACGGATCTCCTTAACAAGGTCAGCAAACATGGCCAGTGGCCTGACTTCCGGCGGGCCCAGCAGCCATTCCGGTGCAGAACTAGTCGGGCCGTGCGTCGGACCGATGGAACCAGGTCTCTGAGTGACGGCGCCGCCGGTGACACTCAACCCCACGCCAGGTCTCTGTGTGACAGCGCCGCCAGTGACACTCAACCCCACACCAGGTCTCTGAGTGACGGCGCTGCCGGTGACACTCAACCCCACGCCAGGTTTCTGAGTGACGGCGCTGCCGGTGACGCTCAACCCCACGCCAGGTCTCTGAGTGACGGCGCTGCCGGTGACACTCAACCCCACGCCAGGTCTCTGAGTGACGGTGCTGCCGGTGACACTCAACCCCACACCAAGTCCTTGAGTGACGGCGCCGCCGGTGACACTCAACCCCACACCAGATCTCTGAGTGACGGCGCCGCCGGTGACACTCAACCCCACACCAAGTCCTTGAGTGACGGCGCCGCCGATGACACTCCACCCCACACCAGGCCTCTGAGTGACAGCGCTGCCGGTGACACTCAACCCCACACCAAGTCCTTGAGTGACGGCGCCGCCAGTGACACTCAACCCCACGCCAGATCTCTGAGTGACGGCGCCGCCAGTGACACTTAACCCCACACCAGGTCTCTGAGCGACGGCGCCGCCAGTGACACTCAACCCCACGCCAGATGTCTGAGTGACGGCGCCGCCGGTGACACTCAACCCCACGCCATGTCTCTGAGTGACGGCGCCGCCGGTGACACTCAACCCCACGCCAGGTCTCTGAGTGACGGCGCCGCCGGTGACACTCAACCCCACGCCAGGTCTCTGAGCGAAGGCGCCGCCAGTGACACTCAACCCCATGCCAGGTCTCTGAGTGACGGCGCCGCCTGTGACACTCAACTCCACGCCAGGTCTCTGAGTGACGGCGCCGCCTGTGACACTCAACCCCACGCCAGGTCTCTGAGTGACGGCGCCGCCGGTGACACTCAACCCCACGCCAGGTCTCTGAGCGATGGCGCCACCAGTGACACTCAACCCCATGCCAGGTCTCTGAGTGACGGCGCCGCCGGTGACACTCACACCAGTGACACTCAAACACAACAGGCTAAACACAATTTTCAGCACTTCCCTCTCTACTCAGGGGGCAGCAGCATCACTTTGTACATCCACTCTTTATTGTTCATGCAATGTTTGGTGCAAATACACAAAATAAAAAACAACCTGAAGTCTTCCTGACAGCATGCATGCCATGAGTGATGTTGGTTGATGGGACAGATCAAGCTGATACTGTTTTATTTGTGGAGTACAGTCCTCTTTGATCAACTGTGCATGAAGTCAACCTGCTGGTGCTTTGTCACAGCATGTATACAGTCAATCTACAGGCCCCAGCTGCTGACAAACAGCCTTAGGTCTTCAGTTACCCTCTCATCATTCACAAAATGACACTGGGGGCAGGCATAATACACATGAAGGAATCTGTTCCCTTCCCCAATGTTAGGAAGAAAGCAGCAGTACAAGATCACATGAAAATGCTACTTTCATACAATAATCAACAACTTTTTTGCATTCCATTGAGGATTCAACCACAGATCACATGAAAATGTTACTTTCACACAATAATCAACAACTTATTGCAGGTTCCATTGAAGACTAAAGCTAAGGTGGCACAAAAAACTAGCAATAGTTACACCAGAATTTGCCCTAAAAATCACAAAGCTCATGTGTTTTTAATGATATGGCACATCTGTGCTGTAAATTTGTTATGTTGCAGCTTTTCCCAGACTAGTCAGACTTCATATGAGCTGGACTTAGAACTAACTGCATAATCAACACAATTTGTTCAGGCCATATGAAATTAGTTTGGCAAAACCACTGCATCCGGGTTGGACCCGAGCAAAGTGAATGGTCAATGGGCCAGCCCAAATTAAGATATAATGGTAACAGCTAACAAGAAACATTAGCATGAGTATTCATGGGTACCACACCAGCATCTGAATTTTGGTTTTGGCTGTTGGGGGAGAGAACAAAAATATTAAAATCACAGCTTGTAGTGAGAACAAAATAACCCAAGTAAATTTGTGCTATTGTGCATCTGTTGCACCATTCCGCAGAGCACATAACGCTAACTTTATGATTGAAATGTCATGCAAGCTACACCATAAATTGGAGCATCTGGGGCATGGTATTTAGCACAGCTACATTCTAGCTGAGGTACAATCTTTCTCACCTGGAGGAAAGATTTTGGGGCAATATGACACCTGCCCAGGCTTTAACTGACCTAGATGTACTTAATTTGGGAACAAGTGTGCAGTTCTCAATTTAGTTTGATAGGATGCTAGCCCCTCTCAAACTTTGAGAACAAAAACTTGGTCAAGATCAGGGAGAACATGGTTTGCATCATTTTGGGGGATAAAAGAATTTACTAATTTTTTTACTTTTGTACCCGTACGGCCGACGGAGGGAAGAGCTACGCTGGCTGCAGGGTTTCGAGTACTGTCATACTGGGGAAATG